TGGCTGGTCATTGTGTCTCCTAAGAAAGGAAGGGGTCTGAGAAAGTTTTCTTGGAGGCTTCTCTTTGGTCCCTGAAATCTCAGTTTCATTGAATGAGAATCCAAGGGTGGTTGCCTCACAAGAAGATTCCTTTCTGCTTTGGAAAAGACCCCAAAACTGGTTCTCAATGTCATGGATCATCTACCGTATCAGCTACATGCAAAAACTAATTAGACATCATGACCAAGTGGAATTTATCCCAGCAATTCAAGGTTGGTTTAACATTCACATCTCAATTACTGCAATATTCAATATTAATGGAATAAAATACAAAAATCCCATGGTCATTGAAATAAAAACAGAAAATTTATATGGCCCAAGTCCAAACCCTACTCAAAATTTAAAAAAAAAAAAAACATTTTTTTTCTGAAGAAAGTAAGAATAGAAGGGAATTTCCTCAACCTGATTTTAAAACTTTTGCAAAAAACCCTCTAGCTGTTGGTTGATGATGCATAGAGAGGATTATAACCATGGCAATGAGATGATATATGATAGAATGAATGTAAAACTAATGTTCTCCCATGTAAACTATCACATAATTCACAATAAATCATTAAAAAAAAACAAAAAACCCTCTAGCTAAAATTATACTTCATGATAAAAGACTGAATGCTGTTCCCCAAAGACTGGGAAGCAAAGACGTCTGCTCACAGTGCTTTTATTGAACATTGTACTGGATGTTCTAGCCAACGCAATCCAGAAAACAAAAAACAAAATGAGAAGATACTTCAATGACATATCAGACATGGAACTAACATCTCAAATTTATAGAAAACTACAACACCTCTACAAGAAAAAGACAAACAACCCAATTTAAAAATGCAAAGCTATCCACGCTACTACCAGGGGTGGGAAGCAGGGGGAAGGGGAGTCATTGCTGAGGCACATGGAATTTGTTACTGCTGGTGGGATCGTTTGAAACAAAAGCTATACAACATGGTGAACGCAATGCATGCCACTGAATTGCACGTGTCAAATATGTTAACTTAGCAGATGTTCATGGGTTTCTGATCACAAGAAAGCAAGTTTTTAAAAGAGACGTCAACATTGGAAGACAGAAAGCTCTCTTGATTCATGGGCAACAGACTGTCTATGTCAAAAACCCAAAGGCATTCACAAAATCGCCGCTGGAACTAATACACATGTCTAGTCAGGTTCCAGGAGTCCTGGGGTGGCGCTGTGGGCTAAGGTGCCAGACTGCAGAGTCATTTGAACTGTAAGGTTGGTGGTTCAAGCTCACCAGCTGCTCCTTGGAAACCCTATACAGGCTCGCTATGGGTCGGAATCGACTCAATGGCAGTTAACAACAACAACAGCGAGGTTGTCAATATACAAAAATTAATTGTATTTCTAGACAATAACAACAGACCACTCAAGAGTGAACGTAAGAAAATAGCATCTCAAAAAATCAAACAGATAAACCCAAGTGTTGGCAAGAACATGGCAACACTAGAATGCCCACAGACATCGCAGGTGATCATACAAAACGGCACAACCACTTTGAAGAAGTTTGACAGTTTCTTTAAACCAAATCCACGGTCATTGACTGAGTCAATTCCAAATGATATCAACACTATAGTCGAATTGCTCCAGAGCATTTCCAAGACTATAAATCTTTCTGGGAGCAGACAGTCTTATCTGTCTCCCAAGGGGGAGCTGGTGGATTTGAACCACTGAACATGCACTAGAAGCCAAACGCCTAACCCACAGTACCACCATGGTGCCTTAAAATTACCCCCTGAATTGGGAATGTAAAGGTGGGTGTTTTGTAGCAAAAGGAGGGGAGAGCTTGACTTTGCAGTCTAGGAGCGGAGGTCCCTGGGACCATCAAGGGAGAAGAGCGGAGAGCGGGACCCGACCCAGAGAAACAGTGACGCCAGAGATGGAGGCAGAGACAGTGACGTGGAGGAGATGGAGCGGCTGAGGACTGTACACCCAGAGAGGAAGAGGGGCTGTGTGCTGACAATCGGGGGCAGGCTTACAGGGTTTGCAACCCCTCGGTTGGTTGATGATGCATGGTGGGGATTGTAATCATGGCAATTAAATGTTATACGATAGAATAAATGTAAAGCTAATGTTCTCCCATGTAAACTATCACATAATTCACAATAAAACATTAAAAAAAAAAAATTACCCCGACCCAGCAATTCCATATCTAAGACTCAATCAAAGAGAAAAAGAAACACACACCCACATAGACACTTAAACACAGCCATGATGTGGAAACAACTCAAATCCGCATTAATGTATGAAAGCATGAACACAGTCGCAAACAATGGGATAATATTTGGCTGCAAGAAGTAACAAGGCCCTGCCCCATGCTACAACACCCAGGAGCACTGTGCTACATAAAAGAAGTCAGATACAAAAGAACACATCTTGTGTAATTCCATTAACAAACTTGTCTGAGAGAACTCTGTGGGGGTGGTAGGCCACACACCCTCTACATTTGCCATAGGAGTCCTCGAAGTGCAGTGGGTTAAGCACTGGGCTGCTACCCTCAAGGTCGGCGGTTCAAACCCACCAGCTGCTCTGCAGGAGAAAAACAAGGCTGTCTGCTCCTGTAAAGATTTACAGTCTCCGAAATCCTCAGAGTCGGCTTGATTTGCACATACTGAAAAGGACTGGACGTGTGCTTGCAACGGGTGAGTTTGATAAGCGAGGTGTAAAGCTTAATGAAGCGTTGAAGCTTGCTGGCAGAGGAGAAATAGCTGAGCTGCGATTCCAGGGGAGAAACGCTGTTGAGAAAGGCAGATGGCCAGAGAGAGATCAAAACAGTTCACAAGCTGAACCATCCGTCTTAAGGTCATTAAGAATTGGCCGCATGTCTGCCCGTCCAAGAGAAGTCTGCTTCCTTGGTAGAATTTTCCTCTAAGCAAAGCAGTTTCCAGACCAAATAAGGCTGAGGTTTTTGCAATGCGCCTGGCACACAAGGCAATTCCTTTTAAGTGCCAGATTATAACTCCGTCTACGATTCCCCATAGCAACACGGTGCCCATCAGTCCCTGTGGAGACCGCTACAAACAAAACTCAGTAAACAGAGTGGGGCGCTGCCCCGTGGCCACCAGCAGAGGGCAGGCGTGAGCTCTACTTCCTGGGAGGAGCCCAGGAGTGGGGACTGAGGATTGGGTTCTCAGACCAGCAGTTCCTGCAGGCAGCTGATCTCTCCTGAACCAGGAGCACCCTCGTCTCTGCCCTAAACAGGGAAAAGCCCAATGCTAGGTCCCTGTTGTAATGTTGTTGGTGTTAGTTGCGGTGGAATTGGCCACCAACAACAGAAGGAAATGACGCCGTCCTGTACCAACCCCATGATAGGGTCCAGATTGTAACGGTGTGATACCTGGGGTTTTTACTTGAGGGTTTTCAGTAGAACACCAGCCATTTCTTCCTAGTTCATCTTAGTATGGAAGCAGTGGCTGCCCACGAGGCGCAATGGCCAGGTCTCCCAAGTGGAAGGTGAGCCACGGAGTTCTACCACGGAGCATGCCATCTCCTTTAATCCACGTTGCTGCTTGTAATTTTTATTAAGTGCCAGGCCTGGTTCCAAGGTGCTTCTTCACAACCACGCTATGAAATGCCTCCTATTTCTCCATTCTACAGATGAGTAAACTGAGGCATGGGCATTGCAGCACCGGGGAGGTGAGCCTGGACGAACCCCAATTTGAGGGCTTAGTCCTGTTGTATATTGCCTCAAGCTGCCAAAAGAAGGGAACAGGCGCCTCCTTCCTAATGCCCCCACTGAGGAGAGAGCAGGCTGCCCCAACCCACCCAAGGGGAGGGACAGATCCCTCAGCGATGAGTTCCATCTTCCAGAAGGGCTGCAATGTGCAGGCTGCTGTCAGCAAGCTCATGCCTGCTGGTAGACAGCACATTTGACGTGGAATAGTTTTCCTTTCTTTGCACTATCCTGTTCAGGTCAAACTGTAGAACGTTTGTCAAGCCACCAGTTACGAACATTTTCCTAACAAGGAATCTAGGTGGGAAGTGGAAATGTTTTCTGCTACAGCCTTCAACGCTGACATTATAATGACGCAGCAGCAGCAACTGAGACTGACGCGGAGGTTGGAGTAGAACAGGCAGGTGGGGAGCAAGGACTGGTTTGATGGCACACTCCCTTCAGGGGAGCAGGGAGTTGGCATTCAGTCCCTTCACCTCACCCCATGTTCTGAGCTCCTCCTGGCAGGCCAGCCCAGGAAAGAGCTTGCTCCAGCTCTGCCCTTTTCCCTGTGACTCAACACCACTGCAAGTCGGGGCTGGGTCTACCCGGTACACCCTCCAGACATGGACACAGATGACTAACAGGGTTCTTAAAGCTGCGATGGGCACAAGCCCGACACAACCTCTCTGTAGCCAAGAAAGGGCATTGGTTTGGTACATTGGGAAGGACAAGATGGGCATCAGGTTTGGCTAGATCCAGGTGCTCATGAAATCATATAATCTGCCATCTGGCCAGCCCCCAGGCCTCATTTTGGACTTTGTTTCTGTGTTGGCCCCTTCTCTCCCACAGACAGGGAAGGGGCTGCCAGACACTCCATTGGGAGAACTTTGTTTTCAGGGCAGAAGCCTGGCTGGTTCTGTGTGGAACCTGGCTCACCTGAACTCCCCCTACCATGGTCAGGATGGGTTGGTACTGACTGACCCAGCTGAGAAAGCTGAGCTTGTGGCCAGGGCACCACGGCCAAAAGCCAAGGGGAAGGAGCCCGGGTCCCCAGCAGGCAGATCAGAATCCACTGTCCACCCCGACCTCCTCAGGTGACACCCCTCACCCTAGAATCACCGTGTGCACGTGTCCCACTGTTCATGGGTCCTGGAGGGCGCAGGGCTGCTGACCCTCTCAGTGCTTGGCAGCAGATGTGCAGACTCTGTGCTGACCTGAATGAACAAATAAGCCTCGGTGGTCCTCGCTCCTTCCTCAACAACTCAGCCTCAAATCCGTATGGTCACAGAAGGCAAGGAAGGCGTCATGTGAGGAAGGCTGTGGTAGTACAGACGGGGAACTGGGCCTGGGCGGCAGGAGGGTGGCACAGACTGAGTGGGGTGCTGGGCCCGGTTGGCAGAGGGCAGGCATGGGCACAGCCAGCATGGAAGCATGGGGACAGCGGTGGCAAGGAGACTCTTGGGGAGATGGAGCCCCCGTCCCGGGTTCTGGATGCCGTAGAAGGGGTGGAAAAGTTAAGACACAGTGGTCTGGGACAGGTGGGGCAAGGCTGTGTTGAGAAGTCAGAGATGAGGGGACCTTGGAGGGGACTGTCAGACTCCTGAGAAGCAGCGAGAAGGAATGCAGGCAGACAGAAGTGAGCAGGGCCCACTCTGAGGCACCCCAGTCCCCTCAGCCCTGCAGCCCAGTGGTCCCTCTGCTGGGCAGGCCCCTCTCCCTGGGCTTCTGTCTGAATCACTCACTGTTCACTGATTACCGGACAGCCAGCTGCCAACAGGGACGCTTCTGTCTTCCTTGTCCATCTTGTCCTCTGATGACCCTCCCACCCCCACTCTGACACTACTCTGAGGCGCAAACGTCACCCTATGTTTGATTTTGAGCAGAAGGGGGCCTGTCAGACACATAGCAAGCCAGAAGCTACGCCTTTATTTCAGTTCAGCTCAAACCTCTGAGCACACAGCATCTGAGGCTGGGACACCCCGCACCCCAGATGGAGAGCTAGGACTCCTCAGCCCAGTTCTGGGTTTGTAGGTGTCATCATTGTGGGCATGGAGAGGCTTCCCCAGCTGGCCTCCTGGAACACGGCCCTGGCAGCACTAGACAGACAGACAGACAGACACGCGGGCCCGAGCCCAAGGCTACAGCAGTGAGTTGTCACTCTTCCCGGATGGAGGAGGCAGGACCTTCCAGACTCAAGAGAGCCCAGAGCACCCAGAGGCAGGTTTCTGAGAGCGGGGAGGGGGGCACCCACATCCAGCCACGCGGGTCGAGGGTCACTGCGCTGGCTCTTTGGTTCCCAAGTAAGTCCCTTGTTCTATCAGCACAGGAGAGCTTATCCCTGCATCCGAAGTCCAGCAGTCCAGCACAGGCCCGGCCCGCGCTCATGGACAGAAGTCCTAGGGGTCTTCCTGGGTGCAGCCCCCCCCCCGCCCCGCACTCTCGGATAGAGGGCCTGGGAAACAATCATGGAGCTTCTGTCACTTCTTGTCCCTCCTCTTACTCTTCCGCTGGCTGGTCAAGGCGTCCAGCTTCCTGTCCAGTCGTCGCTGCAGCTGGGCCCTTTTGGCTGGATCCAGGGCCCTGTCCTTGGTCCCGCTGCCTGGGTAGAGCACACCCTCCCGGCTGACCCTCTGGCGAGCATGGGCACGCGCCCGCTCCCCACAGCCATGGACCTGGGAACAGCGGTCAGTGCGTCAGCAGGAGGGCGGAAGGACAGGGTGCAATGGACACCCTCCACCAACTTGATCTCCGTGTATGCGGAGCGGGATCCCTCCCAGGTGTGACTGCGGCTCAGACAATACCCCTGGGCCACAGGGCAGCCTCTGAGGCCCCTCAGGACTCAGGACCTGGCCCCAGGCACAACGACTCCACCCCCAGAGAGTGACGCAGCCCTGCAGGGCGGAGCCACAGACCGCAGGGCGGAGCCACAGGCCGCTTGGCTGGCAGGGACGTGCTCCCAGAGCCCCCACCCCTCCCAGCTGGCCCCAAGTGAGCAGGCCACGCACCTCGGGCAGGTGGTGGCCCAAGCAGTACTGACGGCAGCAGTGTGGACACAGCTGACCCAGGGTCACGACGCTGGCTGAGCACTTGGCGAAGGCACAAGTACTATTGGCCTTCCCAGCAGCGGACACCAGGGCATCCAGATCTTCCTCCACAGGCACCGCAGTTTCTGTGTGTCCTGCCGATAAGCGGGAGTTGGGGGCTGCAGGCGACACCAGGCTGGCCCCCTCCCCATGGGAATGGCGAATTGCAGGGCCAGAGCACACACACTACACTGTGCCCACTTAGCGGGTCACTGACCTTTGCCTTCTTTCTTCTTTTTCTTCTCTACCCTCTTCTGAGGTCCCGCAGCCTCCTGGTCCTTCATAGCCAGTGGCTCCTGGCGGCCCGCCTCCCTCTGCAATCGCTCCAGGTGCAGCGCCTTCAGGTCCAGCGGGCCCCCACCTCGGCCACCGTTGCTCAGCTCACCGGGAGGACACTCAGCGTGCACGGCGCTGGGTGGACCCTCAGCCTGCGGAGGGCTACGGGGACACTCGGCATGCACGGCGCTGGGTGGACACTCAGCCTTCAGAGGGCTAGGGGGACACTCGGCGAGCACGGGGCCAGGAGGACACTTGGCGAGCACGGGGCCAGGGGGACACTCGGCGTGCACGGGGCCGGGGGGACACTTGGCGTGCACAGGGCCGGGGGGACACTCGGCGTGCACGGGGCCGGGGGTTGGCAGAGCTGGGTGGACACTCTTGCTCACAGTCACACGCCGCTCCCTGCCTTCCCCGCTGCTGCTGTGCCTCAGCCCCAGCTCCTCAGCGATCTGATGGACCCTCATCCTGGAGTGGGAGTTCAGGGAGGTGGGAAACTCCAGCCTTGTCTCCTTGCTCTCCACAAAGGCCACGATCATGGCTCTGAAGTGGTCCACGTCGTCTTTCCCATCCGTTGCCTCTGCACCGCCCAGGCCGTGGGGGCCAGGCTGAGAAAGGGCTTCAGAGCCTGAAGGACCCACGTCTGGCTTCTTCCGGTCCAGTCTGGCAGCCCTGGCCGCCCGGCCTCCCGCCTGCCGCCCGCCGCCCTGCAGCTTCCTGGTGGCTGAGGTAGGGCCCTGGGGGCTCTCATGGGCGTAGTTCTCGGGCACCAGGTCATCAAGGTACTCAAATGCTGTACGCACTTCCCCGTGCTCCGTGAAGTGGCCCACCAAGGTCTTTAGGAACTCGTGGCATGTGACGGTGCGCGAGTCGCAGACAACTGCCACGTGGCGTCGTGCGCGGGTGATGGCCACGTTGATACGCCGGTCCTCTGCCAGAAAGCCGACTTCGCCTGAAACGGAGCCACGGGTGGGCTGAAGCGCGAGCCGCGGGTAGAGCAGGGAGGCACAGCACACCCCCCCCACACACACACACACACACTCCCACAGACACACATACACACACAACCCTACACCCCCCTGGTCGGGACAGCAGCCGGCCTGGTGGCTGGGACATCCCCACGCACATTCTGTGGCTCACATCTGTGTGTCCAGAGTGGCTGGGGTCTCAGCAGCAGACTCTCAGTTCCTGCACCCCAGGTAAGTAGGAACCCTCCTCCCTGAGCCCAACGTGGGGGCACAGTCCAGGGACCACACTGCTGCTGACCCACAGGAAGAGATGGTGATGCTGGGGGTATCATCTTTTCTCACTGGGTATCCCTCCTACCCCTCATGGCCAACCTCCCACCACAACCCTAGAGCTCCAGCAGCGTGGAAACTACATACCCTCAGGCCAGATAATCCTAATTTCCCTGATTCACGTCAGGGCCCTTCCTGGCCAGCCCCAAGTCCCTACACACCTCCCATCTCATTCAGAGTGCCCCCACCGGCCCCTGTCGCTGCCACTCACACACTCTGAGCACACTGGTATATACTGTCCCTGCCTCTGTGCCTCACACACTCTGTTCCTCGGCCTGCAACACCCTTCCCTGCGGGCACACTAGTATACAATGTCCCCTGCATCTATGCCTCAAACTCTGTTCCTCGACCTGAAACACCCTTCCCTGTGGGCACACCAGCTCATAGTGTCCCTGCCTCTGCACCTCACACACTCTGTTCCTCAGTCTGGAACACCCTTCCCTGCAGACACACAGGTATACGCTGTTCCATGCCTCAGCGCCTCACATGCTCTGTTCCTCAGCCTGGAACACCCTTCCCTGCAGACACACCAGCTCACACTGTTCAGGCTGCAGTGCACCACTAGACACTGCCACCTGAGACACAACAGGCCCCAGCAGGTGGATTCATGAGGCAGCTTCTACCAGGACAGAGCCCACCTCGATGCCCACTCGCTCCCACACTGGTCATGTCTGACCTGTGGATGCCATGAACCCCACCAACCTGGTGCCCACTGAAAGCCACTGTGAGCTCTGAATCCTGTTGCAGAGTCCATTCTAGTCCTTGGTACCCCTGGCCCCACGCGTGTGAGCAGAGTCCCCATGACCGTGGCCATGCAGAAACACACTGCCAGGCCTGACTTCCAAGGCACCTCTGGGTGGGTCTGAACCGCCAACCTTCCGGCTAGCAGCTGAGCACACGATCACGGGCATGTTGCCCAGTGGATGAATAAACACACCCACCTCTCCTATTAGACCGGACCAAGGACAGGACCACAGCTTCCTTCTCTCGGCCCTGGAAGCCATCCACCGACTTTACCTCCAGCTCCAGGTACCTGTGAGCAAGGCTCTGCCGGAGCAGGTCCACCTGAAACACCAAATGAGGACAGACGTGGCTTCAGCGCACGCCCAGGCCTCAAGGCAGACAGGCCCTGGCCCGCCCTAGGAACCAGTTTCACAACCAGGAACTCACAGACATGCCAATCAACACAAACCGCGTGTGAGCCTGTGAGCCTGGGACCACAAGCGGTTTCTGCTGACTGAGACGGGGCGGGGACTGAATCCACCAGCAAGGGAGCCACTGGGCAGTCCCCGCAGCCAATACCTGTGCTCTGGACATGCTTCCTCCCCAGCTGGCAGGCACTGGGGGGGGTGGGAGGGGGGCGGCAGCAGACACAGGCTGTCTGTCTGTCCAGAGCCTCCCCACTTCTGCAAGAGCTTGCTGCCATGGGTGGGCGGCAAGTCAGCCCTATGCATGATGGGATGGAGCTCTTGGGAGCCGCCACAGGGCTTTCACTGGCTGGTTCTCCTACATCGGTTGCCAGGCCTTTCTTCCTAGTCTTAGCTGGCAGCTCCACTGAAACGTGCTCAGCGTCACAGCAGCACAGGAACCTCCACCGACAGTCGAGAGGTGGCTGTCCAGGAGGTGCACTGGCCGGTAGGGGGTGTCCACCACTGACCCTCACTGTCCCTGAGGTCAGATCACCTCTGGTGTCCTGAGGAAGGTCCTCCTCCCACCAGTGCCTGTGGGCGCCCCCTGGAGCGGAGCCCATCCTGTCCCACTCAGCCCGGACCCATGGGAAACACTGTCACTACAACAATCCCTTCCAGCAAGGCCCCAGGGAAGCTGCCACCAACGAAGGCCACACAGTGACCCAGGCTGGCAGAGGAGGGACAGGGAGACAGACAGACAGAAAGAGGGCCCCTCAGTACCTGGAGGTTGTATGGCGTGATGACAGCAATGTCCCGGGCTGGGACGCCGGCGTCCACCAGAGCCTGGACGTGCGCACTGACCAGGCGGACCTCACCTGAGGGGGCAGCAAACTGCAGGCTCTCAGCTGATACCCACCACCCATCAGCACCGCTGGGCCTACCTGGGCCTGAGGCCACCATGAGCACCCTGCATCAATAACACCAGGCACTCCACACACAGAACAAAGTATTGTTAATATACCGAAGTCCTCGTGTGTCCTCTATGCCACGTGCACCCTAAATCCCACCTCACCTGCACTCCACACAGACAACACAGAACTGACAGTCCTCTGAAGTCCCCTGTGTGTCCTCTACGCCATGAACACCCTGCGTCCCCTTCACAAAACCCTTCATAACTAACGGCAATGAATCCCAGCTATGAGCCCAGGGCCTTCAGACCATGCCAGGTCAGGACAGCTGAGCGGTGTTCAGGACCACCCATTCATGCTGGTTTTCTACCTACTCACTCGACCCCTCAGAGAGAGGGGCTAGTGGAATTGTTCACTGCAATCGCATGTTTGTCTATTTGTCATTGAAGTTCTATCAATTTTTGGTGCGTGGCTTTTGAAGCTCTGTTGTTAGTTCCATAAGTTTTTTGGTTTTCTTTTAAATGTTTTATTGTGAATTATGTGATAGTTTACATGGGAGAACATTAGTTTTACATTCATCCTATCGTATATTGTCTCGTTGCCATGGTTACAATCCCCTCCATGCATCATCAGCCAACCAAAGGGTATATACCCTGCAATCCTTCCCAGGTACCCCCCAGGTCTTCAGCACACACTCGCTTTCCCTCTCTGG